CTTGCTGAACAATGTTAAGAGTTCTCTTCCGCTTTGCAACAATGGCAGATGCGAAAACGAAGGCTGCTAAGTCGGCTTTTGATGTCAGTATTGATGGAGGTATAACTTTGTTTGATACGGCTGAAGTTTATGGCTCTTGGGTGAGGCGTCCATGTTATTCAGTTTTACTGTTTTTCCCTGGACTGATATTAAAAAAAAAAACTTGTGGATCTGAAAATGTTATCGTTATTGTACTCGCAGCTCTTAAATGGTGCTGTAAACTCTGAAACTCTTCTAGGAAGGTACACTGCTGAGTTCTAATTATAACCTTTCATTGCAAATGGTTTTCAGCTTATTGTTTTTATGATCCGACTTAAATGGTTTGTTGTAGTTTTATCAAGGAAAGGAAACAAAAAGATCCTGAAGTGGAGGTAGCTGTTGCGACCAAGTTTGCAGCTTTGCCTTGGAGGCTGGGACGTCAGAGTGTTGTAAAGGCGCTTAAGGATTCCCTCTCTCGCCTTGGACTTTCTTCGGTAGAACTCTACCAGCTACACTGGTATGCAGTTTTTAAACTGGTTATTTGTTGAAATTTGAGCCTGCAGCTCTTTGGCAAGACATGTTGCTGATCAAGTTTTTTGTGCTGGTCTTCAGGCCTGGAATATGGGGAAATGAAGGTGGCTCATTTGTTGCACCATTGTTCATTGAGCAACTGACTGCATTTATCTAACCTTGTTCCTGAGTGCATATAGATACAGTAGAATTGAATTCTTATAGAACTCAAATCTTAATTATTTGGAATCGGAAGAAGCTTAGCTCAATGAAATCAGTTCGTTTTCAGGGTATATTGACGGTCTTGGAGATGCTGTTGAGCAGGGACTAGTGAAGGCTGTAGGTGTTTCAAACTACGATGGTAATTTTCTAATTCCAGCAGTTCAAACTACAAAAAAGATAACGAGCATACAACATGCAGTCAATTTCTAATTGAACATGACATGGAAGAGTTTTGGGTTTTTCCTCTTTTAACTTTTAGATGTGATGAGATATTTTTAATTCCTTAATTCAGAGAGCAAACTCCGTAATGCTTACAAGAAGCTCAAGGAAAGGGGTGTTCCACTGGCTGCAAACCAAGTAAATTACAGCCTTATATACAGGCAGCCTGAGGAAAACGGTGTCAAGGCTGCCTGTGACGAACTTGGGATCACTTTGATTGCGTATTCCCCTATGGCTCAAGGTGAGCTAGATTCGTTTGGTGCTTGTTTCATGCTCTATGGTTTTCACTTCAGTGCCCCATATCTCATACAGTTGAAAAGATCTATTTGGCCTTCCAAGTTCTAGTCAATGGAGCAATGAAGCCACCTAATTCTCAGTTTTCTTAGAAAATACTGTATCTAACCACCGTTGTCTTTATGGGATTTATGCAGGTGTTCTCACAGGAAAGTACACACCAGAAAATCCTCCGTCTGGTCCTCGAGGCAAGATTTACACTCCCGAGTTTCTAACAAAGGTAGGAATTAAGAACTTAAAAGTTATAAAATTTCCTATGATCATCAAATCCCCATCTATAAAGCTGAAGCATTCTTGCGTTCTGCAGCTTCAACCTCTGCTAAAAAGAATCAAAGAAATAGGACAGAGCTACAGTAAAACTAACACACAGGTTCATCCTGGTTCTCTAATTCTTTTTCTGAGCTTTTTTCTGAAGAAGCACGACCACCTCCAAATTAGAACGCTTTAATTTAGGCGAGGTTTTGATCTGTATAGGTAATCTTGAACTGGCTGCTTGCACAAGAAAATGTCCTTCCAATCCCAGGGGCCAAAAATGCCCAACAGGCCGAGGAATTTGCCGGAGCGCTTGGTTGGAGACTCACTAGTGAAGAGATCAATGAGCTGCGCTCCTTGGCACAGGATATAATCCCTCTAGGTTTTGCTCAAACAATAGGGAAATAAGATTACGTCTCAGAAGTTACCCAGTTAACTGTAAAAGTAGACTTCTTTGTCACGGTTGTTATCTGCATATTGTAATCTTCAGGATAAACTTAAGTGCATGTTCATATCCATGATTAACAGGGTTTTCCATCCAGCAATATGTTTGATGCAATACATTCATGGCACCGCTACAGATAATGATTAGCCATGGAGTCCATTTTAAAGAAAGAGAAATCAACAGTGATCAAGCAGAAATGATTTTATTGTTTTCTAGGTAGGCATAAGATTAATCAAATTGCTCCTAGGTGCGTATACATTAAATGAAGAAATCCTAAATGTTATATACACACGCACGCACAGACGGATATAATGTCAATATTAAAATTCGTATATATTATATTGTATCAAATAATATAAATGCTCTTTATATCTAACTTATTGTATCAAATAATATAAATGCTCTTTATATTTAACTATTTAAAAAATATTAAAAAATATTTTAATTTATTTTTAATACAATATTCATATCTCATGATAAAAAATAACTTTTCAAAAAATATATTCATTTAAATCAAATCTGTCAATTCATCAAGTTGAAAGTAAGTGGTCATTCCTGTGTGTGATTGTAGGTTCATTTGACACCCGTTTTGACTTTAAATTAAACAAATAATAGGAATTTAAGAAATCAATTTGAATGAGAGAGAGAGAGAGAGAGAGAGAGAGAGTAAATGTACCGATCATGACGTATGGAAGTAGTGTTTTTGTTAGATTGTAATTGCAAACACAACCCTTTGCCGACTGTTGCAATGTGCATCAGAATTATAATGGACCATTTATATCCAAGTTTCAACGCAAATAGAGGTTCAAATTCAAGTTTTATTCGCAATAATAATACTTTTTTTTCTGGCCATCAATGCTTGAAAATCGAGAGAGATGTCTTTGTCGAAATGAGTGGCAACTGTTTTGTGTTTGATCGAATTGAAGAGATATTATTAAAAATTATTTGGTTTTATTGTTTGGATATGATTGAAAGTTAGAGCGCTTAAATTAAAAGATAAGGAAACTGGCAGCCCTGCTTTCTATATATATATATATATATATAAGGCCCCTCCGTTTTTTTGCTAATTTTTACTTTGGGTTTTTTTTCAAAGTTTCTCTTTAGCCCCTTAAGTTTGAGGATCAAACATTTTAGACAAAATCTTTATTTCATTTCTTGGTTCGGTTTGAGAGAGAAAAAAGAGAAAGTTGTTGAAAAAAAAAATCAATTGACCAACATTTCAACCATGAAAAAAATCGTTTTTGATGTTAATAGGTTCTTTTTGACAAAAGAAATTTAATTGAGGTGTTCTTTTATTTGTTTGAAAAGGGAAATCAAATATTTCAAAGTTTTTAAAATCAAGTTGATTTTGCATTTTGAAATTGAATTTTTTCAAGTTTAAGACTACATATTGTTTTTAAGATATCTATAATGTTTTTAGATAAAATATTGATTAAAAAATTAGTTTAATTGTTCAAGGAGTTGGACCTTAATTTTCTAATCATCATTACGATGATCAAGATAATTGGGTGACCATAAATAAATTACCATCGATATTGCCCAAAAAATAGGTTAGGGTGAAGAAAGTATAGAAAAAAATTATTTTTTTATATGGTTATCATAATCTTATAATTTAAATAGCAAATTTAGTAGGTTAATCCAAACTGATTCAAATTAATTTAATATATGTCATTTTAATATTTTAAAAAAAATATTATTTTAATTTTTTTAATTAAACTATATTTTTATTGGTTATTTATAATATTTTTGGACCTAACAAGTTGATTAAGTCATATCAAATTAATTTTTATATAATTTATTATTTTTTAATATAAAAACATAACAATTCAATCCAAGCATATTGTATAGTGTAGATAAGGATCTAGCCTACTCTTGAAAAAAAAAAAAAAAGTTACTTGATAGGTATCTTTAGAGGCATTCTTTACTCAATTTATCGGCGTTCCATTTCTTGTTTTCACATGAAATCTACCTTTTACAATCTACCCTGGACACACAGAAAACTCACTAAATGAAGAGGCTTTGGGACCATGCCATGCGTGAAATCTTGATATGATTTGTTCTTCTTTCTGTGATATGCAGAAACAAACACAACGAAGCCTGTGATATGCAGAAACAAACGCAACGAAGGACGTAGAAGAATGGATCTGTACTTGTTCTAACGAATAGAGGCTTGCTGACTTTAAAGCTAACCCCACTGGTAATTGTAGAGCCCAGAAACCATATAACTTCATGATTTATAAACCATGACTCTCTCCCTGGGGATGAAGATACTTCTTCCTCATAAATTCAATCACTTTAAGCTTTTTAGAAGAATCACACATTTTTGTTAAAATTATATTTTTTATCTCTTAAGTATCAAAATGATTTAAAAATATCAAAATAAAATCATTATGTTTTAAATATATTTGAGATTTATCCTAGTGTGGAAAGGTGGATGGAGGGGCCACTCAACTAGCAAATTAAAAGAGCATGACAGTGATATGTATCTAAAAGAATCTAATTCCAAATTTAAGAGGAGGAGGAGGAAGAAGGGAGAGCGGATAAAATCCAACTCGGCCAACATCAAAGCATATCTAATCCAAACCCAACCACGAGCTGCAATAAACAGTGTTTCTGACAGTACTGGTCCCTCCTAAATAAATAAATCAATCCAAATTTCAAGCATTTTTTAAAATTTATTGTTGATATAGGACTTGAAAATTATTTAAAAACATTGAAAAATTATGTTAATTTTTTTTTAAATAATTTTAAAACACAAAAATGAACGTCCTCTTCTTCACATTTCGGATCACACCCTCTCTTCCTTCCTGGTTATTGATCTCCTTACCCTCTCCAATTTTAAGAACCATGAAATCAAATTTCCAGTCACCCCAGATTTATTTCACCAAACTGGCCCACGCAGAAGAAACTAACTCACTGATCATATGACACGTGGACAACATGTAAGTAACTGCAGATTAAAAAAATGAGTGGTGTGACTACAGAATCTTTCCCTCAGGTCTCAGACACTCTTGAGAGTCTGTGTCATGTCCTTGTCTTTGTAACTGAGAGTTGAAAACAGGCACTCTTCATTTATCTCCTCTCTCTGGGTCCTGTCCATTCTCAAATCTCTCATACCACCCATTTCCACAGCGTTTCAGAGAGAGAGAGAGAGAGAGCGAGAGCGAGAGGGAGGGGTCATATTGGAAGTAGTTGAAGAAGTTCAGTCTGTTGTACAAGGGAAGTTTGGTAAGGTCAGGAGTGCTTTGATTTCATGTCTCACTTGTGGGATAGGAGTACTTTTTGAAGTCCACTTTGTTTGATTCTTTTTTGCAGGCCAGAAGAATGTTTTTTTCTTTTCTTTTTTCTTTATCTTCTTCTCTGTCGAGGTTCTTTTTCGATACAAAACTTTTGTGGGGGGGGGGGGGGGGT